TGAAAGGAAACCAAAAGGAAAATCACCCTTTTGTGGGTCCCCAAGACAAAGACACCTGCAAATGAACTCATGGGGAGTGCCTAAAATGAGCAACCGGTGCATGTTTATTTTCCAGTCCTCCGCTGTCCGGGCATCTCCTTGCCGCTGCTCTGAACGAACATGGAAAGTAGGATCGTCCATTTGGTTTCCGTTTAGAACAGCCGAAACAGGCACCCTCCAGAAAGACCCCATCTTCGCAGAACATGTTTCACGTGTAGTCAACCTCAAACTATGAAATCATTTTGGCGGAGACCTCGGATTCAATCGTGTGTGTGTGCGTGTGTGTCTTCCAGTGCTTTTCGTCGTTCCGAGAGCTCTACACAATTTTGGACAAAAGCACGGCTGTCTCAAAATCAGGTTGGGTGATTTGTACCCAGGCCCCTTGTCCCCATTTGCTCGATTTCGCTAGATTTCGCCGTTGGCTTGCCACCAACTACATCAAACAAGTTCGATTCCAGCATGAGACATACTCCAATGAGAGGGTAGAGCCTCCGGGCTTTTGAGGGCTCAGCGGCGCCCAAGAACCCGACTTGTGGTTTCACCATGGCGAAGGTCTGTACACGTGGCCATGACCAAGCAACCGGCTATGCCTTGTTTGAGGGTACCTTTTGTAGGTTGGTGAGAACTTGAGAAGGGAAACCAACATGAAAACCACCAAATTTCGGGCGCCCCTATTTTAACACACACCCAGTTGTTCAACATCGCGGTCCTCTTGGATGGTAAGCGACCGGAAGGAAGCCCGCCTAACTGGTCCCTAAAATGAGGATTTGGACCCAAGATCCTTCGCTTCCTGTTGGCGTTATTTCCCTTGATCTACTGTACAGGAGATGCCGTGCACGCTCACCATCATACCATTAAATGAGGGTTCACTAAAACCACATGTTGCCTCGTTTGAGGCTTCTCTTTTAAGCACAACGAGACCGAACCCCTCTCGGCTGACGTCTCGATCCTCCACGTTGGGCGCGTAGGTCACCATCAGTTACCCCCCCTCCTGAGGCTGACTACACACGCACATGACTCGATTACCTCAAGGTGGACACAAATACAGTACCTAGGCATGGTTCAATTCCCCAAAAAGAACCTCGGTATCTGCGTCTACCTTGGTGTAGTACCACAAGAAGAAGCGTGCTGAAGAGGACTTGGGGTTTTGGGGAATCAACCGTGGGTATCTTGGGGCAAAATGAACAACTACTCGAACCTTAGAAATGTTCCGTATCATTTTGATTGGCCTGGTTGTTCAAATTTACTTTCGGTTTCGTCTGTCTCCTTGACTAACCTCAGCTTTGCGCCCCCCCCCGCCAACCAGTGATTTTGCAAATATATAATATAAAGTATCGTGAACTTCGGATGAACCCGAGGGACTACTACTCGGAGGCCAAGGGTCATTCGCCTCAAAGGGAACCGCTCGGAACATGGTCCGTCCGGATGAATCAGACCGCAGTTTGGTTTCAAAAGACACATGATGTTAGAATCAAAGTTTGCCGTGAGCTCAGTTGTAATCCCAAGTTTGCCATTCTCCATCCAGTTTCGATTTCAATGGGAACATTACTTTCACACCAGTGTTTAAACTCACCCGCAGAGAAGCTGCAAACAAAGGACCAGCCCAGATGGATGACTTGAAACCATCTGATACAAGTACACCTTGTTCGAAAACTTGCCACTCGCTGACATGCCAACCACCTGGTTCCCTGATGTTAGCCGTGTTCAATGCCAGCCCGGCAAGGGTTTTCGCAGTTGTAAACGGCGCACCCTTTTTGACGCGCTGGCTGGGTCCACTCCAATCCGAAAAGTTAAATGGCCCAGAGTGTCTATGGATAAGTCTTCAAGGCCAGTTAACGAGAGTTCACAAAGTGAAACGACCCGGAGTGTCAATGAATACATTCGACCCAGGTGGAACCGTTGCTGCTCCTGGAGAGAAAAACCAGACCTGAAAGAGGCCAATGCAGGCTGTTGTTTCCGAAAAAGTGACGATGTCAAACGGACAGGAAGAGCAGCTCTTGGGGACATGAAATCGTCTCGCAACAATTAACAAAGACGCAGCAGCTGATATTGAAACTGCATCAACCGCTAAGCTCCCCATGCACGCCATGGTGCGTGCGACTCAGAACAAGACACCCAGCCTTTGCTCGCCAAAACTATGAGGCCAATGTTGGGCAGAGACGCAAGGTAAAGGGAGCAGCTTTCTCCAAGATACATTTAGATTGACTTGCTTCCGGTCATTTTGGCAGGAACGATTTATGTATATGTTTCAACATATTTGTATGTATGTGTATGTGTGTGTTTTGCTGTCTTCTATCTATGTATGTGCGCGGACGGTGCGTGCGTGCGTGTGTGGGTGTGTGGGTGTGTGTGTGTGTGTGTGCGTCTGTGTGTGTGTGTGTGTCTGTGTGTGTGTCTGTGTGTGTGTGTCTGTGTGTGTGTGTTTGCGTGTTTGTGTGTATGTGTGTTTGCGTAAAAGTGTGTTTGCGTGTTTGTGTGTTTGTGTGATTGTTGTTGTTTGGGTGTGTGTGTGTGTGCGTGTGTGTGTGTGTGTGTGCGTGTGTGTGTGTGTGCGTGCGCGTGTGCAAGTGTGGGTGTGTGGGCGTGTGGGGGTGCGAGCGTGTGGGCATGTGTGTGTGCGTTCGTGCAAGGCGGCGTGCGTGCGTGCGTGCTTGGGTGTGGGCGTGTGGGCGTTCTTGAGTGTGGGTGTGTGTGTGTGTGCGTGTGCGTGTGCGTGTGTGCGTGTGCGTGTGTGTGCGTGTGTAAGGTGCGTGCGTGCGTGCGTGTGCGTGTGCGTGTGCGTGTGCGTGTGCGTGTGCGTGTGCGTGTGCGCGTGCGCGGGCGTGCGCGTGCGCGTGCGCGTGCGCGTGCGCGTGCGCGTGCGCGTGCGCGTGCGCGTGCGCGTGCGCGTGCGTGTGCGTGTGTGTGTGTGTGTGTGTGTGTGTGTGTGTGTGTGTGCGTGTGTGCGTATTGTGCTGTGTGCGAGTGCCATGTGCGGTGTTGTGAGTGTTGCGTGTGCGTGTGCAGGTGTGCATGTGCAGTTGTGCGTGTGCGTGTTCATGTGCGTGTGTTGCGTGTGTGCGTGTTGTGTGCGTTGTGCGTGTTGTGCGTGGAGGTATTTTTGTGTGTGTGTGTGTGCGTCATATGTGTCTGTGTGTGTGTGTGTCTTGTGTGTGTTTGTGCGCTTTGTGTCTATTGTGTGTTTGCGGTTTGTGTGTTTGTGTGTTGTGTCTTTGCGTGAATGTGTGTTTGAGAGTTTGTGTGTTTTGTATTTGTGATTGTTGTTGTGGTGTGTGTGTTGATGTTGTGCGTGTGTGTGTGTGGGTGTGTGTGTGTGTGTGTGTGTGTGTGTGTGTGTGTGTGTGTGTGTGTGATTGTTGTTGTTTGTGTGTCTGTGTGTGTGTGTGTGTGCGCGTGTGCGGGTGTGCGGGTGTGGGTGTGTGAGCGTGTGGGGGTGCGAGCGTGTGGGCATGTGTGCGTGCAAGGCGGCGTGCGTGCGCGCGTGCTTGGGTGTGGGTGTGTGTGTGTGTGGGTGTGCGTTCTTGAGTGTGGGTGTGTGTGTGTGCGTGTGCGTGTGTGCGTGTGTGTGTGTGTGTGGGTGCGTGCGTGCGTGTGTGTGTGTGTGGGTGTGCGTGTGCGTGTGCGTGTGCATGTGCGTGTGCGTGTGCGTGTGCGTGTGCGTGTGCGTGTGCATGTGCGTGTGCATGCGCGTGGGCGTGGGCGTGGGCGTGAGCGTGGGCGTGGGCGTGCGCGTGTGCGTGTGCGTGTGCGTGTGCGTGGGCGTGGGCGTGGGCGTGAGCGTGGGCGTGGGCGTTCGCGCGCATGCGTGCGTGCGTGCGTGCGTGCGTGCGTGCGTATGGGTGTGTGTATTTGCTGGTGTACCTTGATGATTCGCCAACGAGCGCGGCCACATATTGGGAGTCTTTGTTTATCGTCGCCCTTGTGATCCCCATCCGATCGAATGTAAGTACCTCGGATAACACCGGATATTAAGGATAATCGCCAAACTTGATGACGGTTGCGTGGCCATAATGCTTTGACTCCCTGGTCAGCTGTCGAATCAACAGCGGGCAGCCCGTCTTGTTGTTTCCGAAACCTATATTTCCCAAATGATGAGAAACCGATCTATTTTAGTGGAGTGGAACCTTGAAACCCATCCTTTCAGGTACCCCCACTTTGGGAAATGTTGATATTGATGCTCTTTCCTCTGGTCTCTTCAATTCTCCACATGGCCTCTACTGCCGGCAGGGCTGATTCGAAACTCGTCTGGCAACAAAGGGCTGGTGTTTCGTTGCTATGTTTGGTTGCGCCCACGGTCTGCAACGGGGCACATCACAATATGTGGCTGTGACGCCCACTGATGATCAGACCATGTTGCACATCGCTCCATCTTTTCTTGCAGTTTTGCTGGTGTGTTCGTGAGGTGCATACGCTTCAACTACAGATCGTTTCAGTGCGAACATGAGCTGCAAGAGAAGATCGAGCACCACTAAACGGACGCTGAGGCCAACATCGAACCAAAGGTTGCAGGGACTTTTGCCTACACTTTGGGCAACATGGCCATGCAGAAATCCTGGTTTGTCATAAGCGGATCATCTGCATTGCCATGTCGGAAGATGCGATGGACACGATGGGCACTGCACTTTCCGGAGGGCCAATCAGGACCATAGAGGTCCCTCGCGAGCTCCGGTCAGTGAGTCGGGCCCGCCGGCATTCCGCAACGTGAGAAGCTAAGAACTCAAAGACACTGCGCTCAGCGCAAGCATCACATGCATATTGACCAAGAATACTCCAGTGAAACTTCACACAAGTTGTGGGAATTCACAGATCACAACAGTCAAATTTCTAACACAATCTGTATCTGCTCACAAACTGGACCATATGCAAGCATGCAATAGCAGTTTGGGAATCCATGCTGCAATCCCACATCCCACGTGCTGTATTTCAGCTTTGGAACTCTGAGGGAGTTTCGTCACTGCTGG